GATCAGCGGGAGCTCTGGTAGCATAGTGCCTAAGGCACTTGACTGCTAACCAGAAGGGTAGCAGTTCAAACCCACCAGCCACTCCTTGGAAGGAAGGTTGGGCAGTCTACTTCCGTAGTGATATTGCCTCAGAAACCCAAGGAGGGGTCGCTATGAGTCGGGTCCAACTCGATGGCACATAACAACAACAACAACAACAACGAGATCAGCTGTTGTTGTTGTTGTTATGTGCCGTCGAATCAGACCTGATGGAAGTAGATTGCGCAACCTTCCTTCCAAGGAGTGGCTGGTGGGTTTGAACTGCCAGCCTTCTGGTTAGCAGTCAAGTGCCTTAGGGACTATGCTACCAGAGCTCTGGGGAGTGACAAATGGCAAGTATAAAAGCAGGGAGTTATGTTACAAGGCTGTTGTAGAAAGAGATTATAATGGACTCAGATAAGGGTGAAAGCATTAAAAGTAGTGATAATGAGAAAACTAGGAAAGATGATCACAGAAACCTGTATTTTGTAAAAGGACTCTTTGATGAACTATCTGGGGCCCTCTTCATACTGGCTTGGACTAAGCAAACACAATGTAAGCACAGTCTGGACGTGGGCCAATGGAAATCCATTCACCAATTGGTAAGCTTAGTAACATTTATATACTATTAATGTGTTAAGAAAGGTCAGAATTGTGAGTCTGTAATCACCTGTTTCCATAGATTCCTCCACACAGTCCCCCCAAAAAGACCCTCCAGAAACAGATGGCAAAGGAAATTTTCAGAAAACCATCATGCTCTTTAGTAAGGTTTTGGCATCAGATACCAATATTTCCTTCCATATGTTGAATTGGACTATACTGCATATAAGCCACAAGTGATTCTTTTATTCTGAACTAGACGCAAGTCTAAGAAGTTTGACCCTTATTACCTCTTTCCTCTTGGGATATTGCCTTGTTTGTGTTCGTTTCTTTGTTTGTTGTTATGCTCTTTCCTTGGCAAGGGAGTCCCAGAAGGAAAGCAGACTCAAACTGGCACTTACCACACCAGTTATTTGAAGGGGAAGAGAGTAAATAAGAAGATAAAGTGTCTGTCCCAGTTGACTTTTAATTAAAAATCCCACAATTTCTCTTTGTTCTTTAACTTGAAAAAATAACTGTACCCTTAAAGTCTACGTATGTTATTGAAGCATTTAAGATTGTCTGCACTTGAGAGGGATGAAAGGGGCCACTAAATACCGTTTATTGAGTCCTTACTATGCGATAAGTACAGCACAAGTTCTGTGGCATTCTATGTCACACACTGTATGTGTCATGTCATGTGTATGTACATGTCATGTGTACAGCAGTATATGACATTGTAAAGTGAGTAGCAGGCACTTCTAAATCCATAGGAACTTCTTCTACCCTTATTGCATTTGCACCCACCTTGAAATCAATAATCACAATAATTTGAGAGTACTAATATAGCCAATAATTAAGATTTTTCACTTCAAAAATGAAAGAAAAAGTGTGACATATATTAAACTCTCTGACTCTAAGACCTTTTTTTTTTTTCCTCATAAAAAAATATGGTTCTTGGTAGCTTAACATAACGTTATATGTTACAGGTAGCCTTTAAAAAAAAAAAAAAACGATGAGAGAAGAATGCTATAAGTTGATTATAGTTAGTTCTGTGGTGGTATTAAAGAATGTAGAAGCATGGAGCTACACATATATTTTGGAAAGGGTCTGATAAAAATGTGAAGCTACTCTGCCAGTTAGGAAAGTATTATCAGTGCTACAAACTTCCCAGAAAACAAAACACTAAAACTGTTTTAATTAGCACACCACCAAAACTTTATTATGACTCACATTCTATTTATACATGATTTAAGTAAGACTATAGGAAACGCTTTCTATAAAGGGTTAGTATAGATAATAAAATATAGATACTTTATTTATGATGACTTACTTGTATCATAATCTATCTACTGAATAATATCTATTTCACTTTAGTGATCATTGCAAAGTTGGGCTAAGTGAATATTTATTTCAACATTGCTGTTGCTGTTAGCTACAATCAAGTCAACTTGTCCTACTCATAGTGATCCCACATGTGTAGAGTGGGTGTGCAGAGTCAAATTGCTCCAGAAGGTTTTCAAGGCTGAGATCTTTTCAGAAGCAGACTGCCAGCCCTGTCTTCCCAGATGCCTCTGAGTGGCTTTGAACCACCTGCCTTTTGGCTAATAGTCACGGGCCTAACTATGCCCCCCAACCCCGGGAACTCCTTATTTCACCATTAAGATAGATGAATTTTATAATACATGAAAAGTGTTCGATAAAATGTCAATTACTTCCCCCTATATGTAATTTCTAAATCCTAAATGTATTGACTTACAAACTTTTATTCTAAAGTATAAAAGGAAGAATCCTCCTCTTTCTCACAAAATAATTGATACTGTTTATTAAATATATTACCATCAGTGTGAGACTTATCATCAGTGTGAGTTCTAAGATCCTTTTTAATGTTAAAGCAGTGGATTTCCCAAGAATCCTTTTCTTTCACCATCACAGTCCTGAGATAAAATTTGAGACTGATAAAAAAAAAAAAAAAAAGAAATGGATTTATTTTACTTTTTCTATTCCTTCTACATGGTACATTTGGAAACTGGGTCAACAAGTTTGAGGCTGATTCATCTAATTAAAAAAGAGTTAATCATTGTTTTTTCTTCCAGGTTCAATATTGAAGGAGGAGGAAATTGTGCCTTCCTGTTTAAGAACGAGATAAAGAGTTCTGATTGTAATGATGCAAGAAAATATGTCTGTAGCCACAAACTCCTTTGTCCTTAGACAAAGAGTTCTCTTAGAGAGGAAATAAAGTAATTAAAGAAAAATTGTCCTACTTTTTGTGCAATATAAACTTATCTAAATACATTTCCTTACTATCAAATATGTGTTTGATGTTGGTGATGAAATTTTCAATGATTCTTATCTTTATTTGAATAATTATGTAGAAGCTTAGAAACTGTCCTGAGTTTTTACATGGTGCTATCAGACCACCTATGATGGTGCATCTAAGCCTACGGAATACTTGTGCCCTTGATCAAAACTGACTTCTAATCAGTCCCACAATGGATCAGATTGAAGCATTGAGGGAAGGCAGTGAAAGACACTTCTACTTTTTTGAAATTCAAATAAATTTCCCTAAAGGAAATAAAAGAGATATAGTACTAGATGAGCAGTAAGCATGTTTCATTCATCCTTGAGTAACGTATAACACACATTTAGAATTTGGAAAGTTCTATGAAATATTTAGGTATTTATATAATATATATGTATATTTAATGTTTTATATATGCATGTATGTATATATAATTTAGGGTCTTTTCCCTTGCATCACCATCAGAGACCAAATCCCCTGGAAATAAAGTTCATACTGAGTCATGTATACCTTCCCTTGATCCCACAGATTTTTAGTCATTATTGAAGAATTACTTACATTAAGTGTACTTGTTGCAATTGTTGATGAAATCATTAAGGAATTAGACTTTATGATTTGAGACATAGTAAGCAGAATATAGGAGCTCTGGTAGCATAGTGGCTAAGACACTTGCCTGCTAACCAGACGGCTGGCGGTTCAAACCCACCAGCCACTCCTCGGAAGGAAGGTTGGGCAATCCTACTTCCGTAGTGATACTGCCTCGGAAACCCAAGGAGGGGTCGCTATGAGTCGGGGCCGACTCGACGGCACATAACAACAACAACAACAACAAAGCAGAATATAATCATTTAGAGATGAAGAGGAACATGAGGAAGGAAACCCTAGCGACTTGCATTAATAATAGAGATTTCTCTGAACTGTCACAAACGTATGAGATTTAGGTTCCAGGTAATGTTTAAACAAGTTTCTGAGGGACAGACCAAAAAAATCCACTGCCATCAAGTCAATTGCAACTCATAGTGCCCCTACAGGACAGATTAGAACTGCCGCATAGGGTTTCCAAGTTGTACATCTTTACGTAAGCAAACTGCCTCATCTTTCTCCTGCAGAGTGGCTGGTGGTTTCAAACCACTGACCTTGCTAGCATCCAAATGTCTTAACCACTATGCCACTTAAGGGACAGACGGTGAGTAATAACTACTGATTTCATCTATGCAACACATTTTGATATTTTACTTTACCATAACTTATGTTCTTCATTTTTATGTTTACAAATATGAGTTATTCTTTTTTTAATATTAACTTATAATATGAGCTATGCTGTGTTTTCACCTCAGTGGTGAATATTTTATATCAATTTTTCTTAAGTAAATGAGCAAATGAAAACTTAGATTGTTTTTATTGTTAGTTGCCATCGGGTCAGTTCCAACTCACAGCAACTTCATGTATAACAGGACTACACCTAGCCTGGTCTTGTGCCGGCTTCACAGTCATGGGTATGTTTGAGCCCACTGCTGCAGCTATTGCAATAATCCATGTCTTGGAGGGTTTTCCTCTTTGCCAGTGACTCTCTGCTTCACCACAAATAATGTCCTTCTTTAGTGACCCTCCTGATGAAATGTTCAAAGTAAGCATGACAAAGGCTCACTATTGAGCCTTCTGGTTGTACTTCTTTTAAGATTGATTTATTTGTTTCTGGCAGTCCACAGATTATTTACCTACGATTATAGTAAATGGTAGATCCACATTTTAAATCATATTTTGTCTCATGCCTATTATAATAATTCAAAATACAGAAAATAGTATAGAAAAATTAGAAGTCTATATATAGCATAACCCAGAAGCAATTTTTGTCAATATCTTTCCATTGTTGTCTGTAGGTGCTGGAATTTAATGCTATATAAAATGTCTTTAGAAGGTTACACATAGGCTCGGTTAAAATATAACCTACATGCTTGGTAAGAACCAAATGTTTTCAACATTTTTCATGTTACTAACATTGCAAAAGATGACTACTGTCAGCAAAAGGACCATGTAGAATGGGAAGTGTGCACTTTTAAGGTAATGAATTAAAGCAGCTTCTTCACTAGAGATTTCTGAAATGGTAGCTATCACATTGCGGAGATGCTCTCTTGCATCTCCTGATGATGAAATCATCACCAAATTGTGCCGAGATGTAATTAACATTGGAAGAGCCAGACAACTCAGTGATAAAGATTTGCTAGATAATGAAGACAAGAGTGATGTAAAGGTGAACTTTGGGATAATGACTGAGAGGCCTTTAAAGATTTTTATTTTTATTTTTTTTTTAATTTAGCTTGAACTCACTCCAGTCTAATTTATTCTGAAGACAGCACCCAGAATCAACCTCAAAATACAAGCCAGATCATAAGACTGTTCTGCTCCAAATACTTCACTAGCTTTCCATTTCATTTAGTATATAGGCCAGATACCTTAGAATGGCAAAAACAAATTAGTTTGTTTTTACTTATCTGACCTTGTCTTCCATTTTCCTCCTGTAGACACAAATGACTTTCTTACTCTTTCTCTAATAGGAGTCCTGCTGAAGAACTTCTGCTGGTAATTATTTCTTCCAAATATTTAATTCTCCTCTCTTTCAGGCTCACTCAATCTTATCTGCTCAAGTACGCCTACTCCGACTACTCTCCTCAAAGCTGTAACCAATAGGTCTAGTCCTAGACATGAATAGTCAACTTACTCTGGCCTATCACCTATCTTTTTTTTTTTTTTTTTTAATTTATTACATAGCAACATACTATATGATTCATTTATTTATTTTTGAAAATCTGTTTGATCCTGACTAAATAGAAATTCCATGAGAGCAAAGGTTTGTTTTTTTCATGGATAGATTCTAAACACCTAGAACAATATCTAGCACATACTGGACACTCAGTGAATAGCTGTTTAATAAAAGAATGGAGGAATGAATGTATGCACATTTATAATTCTGAAGGGCAGCAAGTAATGAATGTGTTTGTATGTATGTATGTGCATGGATGTGTGTGTTAGGGTTTTGGGGAGTGTATTTATATCTTTATATGTAGTATTGGAAAATGTTGCACAGTTGGTGCTAACTAGTGCAATAAGAATAGCGCCTAAGGCATTTGACTGCTAACCAGAAAACTGGCAGTTCAAACCTGCCAGCCACTCCTCACAAGGAAGATGGGACAATCCACTTCCATAGTGATACCACTTCAGAAACCCAAGGAGGGGTCTCTATCAGTTGGAGCCGACTCAAGGCCAGTGAATTTGTTTTGTTTTTTTGGTTTAAAACAAATAATTAAATTTTAAAATAAATAGCACTCTCTTTATTCACATATAACCACTTACACAGAAAATCCTAAGAATTTATAATACATAATATTATAAACTAATAAGCGAGTGTTGTTATGTACCGTTGAGTCAGACCCGACTCATAGTGACCCCTCCTTGGGTTTCC